AGGGGGGTTCCAAAGAGGATGCAGCTCGGCTGTTCTCAGTGGTGGCAGATGACAGAACAAGGAGCAATGGTCTCAAGTTGCAGTGGGGGAGGTCTAGGCTGGATTTTAGGAAACACTATTTCATTAGGAGGGTGGTGAAGCACTGGAATGCGTTACCTAGGGAGGTGGTGGAATCTCCATCCTTCGAGGTTTTTTAGATCAGGCTTGACAAAGCCCTGGCTGGGATGATTTAGTTGGGGTTGGTCCTCGTCTGAGCAGGGGGTGGGACGCGATGACCTCCCGAGGTCCCTTCCCACCCGGATCATCTGTGATTCTGTGATCACTCCTCAGGTGTGTTGGTTCTTCATGTCTGCCTGCTTGGTGAAAATGGGCAGCGGCAGCTCCCACTCCACCTGAGAGCCCTGCCTGGGCCAGGTGCTCAGCACATCTCACGGATGGGCAGCACATGACGCTTCCCAAGGGAGCAGGAGAAGGTACCAGCTTTATGCCACCTGGCATATGCTTCGAAGGCCACTTAAGCCAATTTTCTACCCTGTTGGTGCTGCCAGAGCAAGGCAAAAGACATGGAAGAGAGGCCAGAATGTGGCCCACAATCTCTTTCCAACAGGTTCTCTGCCTTCACACTTCCTGTCTGACTTGAGAACTCAGTTCCCTGCATCCCTTGAGGTTCTGCAGTCACTAGCCCCAAAGAGGGTGTAAAAGGCTTTGACTCCTGTGCCTACTCATCGTAGGTCTCTGGAAGTCCCCCATCGCTCTTGCTAGCTCGGCTCTGCCTCCCCAGATCCTGCAGGAAATGGTCACCAGGTGAACACCGGTAAGTGGGAGGAAGCGTGTATGTCAGCTGAACTGAAATTTGGTTTGGGTTTTGGAAAACCTTCGCGGCTGTGACTTGGTTTCATAACATGCGAGGTGGAATTTGTCGGTAGGGTTCTCATGTAGACCTGCCACTTTTGGCCTTTGCTTTAGGTACGTACAAAACGGGGACAGGACCAATCCAGGCTCCAGACACCAACCGGTGGGAGACATGGTTCCGTTGCTCCTGATGGCATTGTGCGTGAAGTGCTGTGCAGCACCAGGGGCAGACACGGACTCTCCCAGGGGAGCTGGAATATGTAGCCCAGGAGCTGCAGCACTGAAGGGAGCTAGCTCAGAACAGCAGTGGGTGTTTGCTCCAGCCACTCATGCTAAGAGGCCCCTTTGTACGGCAGGCATCTCACTGGGAGAGAAGAGCAGCAGGTACAGTAATAAGCGGCTGTAGACAGGCCACAGTCGTAGGAATCTGAGATGTCATTTCAATGAGACGCTGGCCATGAACGGGACATTCCTATCACAGAGACATTAGAAACCAGGTGCATTTTTTTCTGGTATCAGGTGATGGCCTGCTGCCCATGGCTCCCATCTGGGAAGGCAAACATCAGACTGGTTGCCCCTGGGCCTACTCCATCTTGGGCCTGCCGCTGACATCCATGTATATCAAGAGATGCACCACTGAAGGCACCGAGTCACACAGGGAGAGTGAGAGGAGAGTTGGGCTCCTTGTCTCTGGCAATCCTGTCTGTTCAGCCCACAGCACTCTCGCCTGGAGGTCTCTGCTGGCCAAGGAGTCTGGCAATGGCTCTGTTCACTCAGAGCAGGTTTTCTCCTGGGCTCTGGAAGCTCTAAAACCAGCATCATAATGGCTGTGTGGAGGGAGAGTCACAAATCTGCAGCCCAGCGCCAGCGAGATGAAAATGACTACGGTGGGTACGATTAAAAAGGAAACTGACTGCAGAACAGCGTGAGCCCCCTGCTGCACTCTGCGTTCCAAATGCAGGAAATGTCACTGTAAAGTCACTACCGTGGAGCAGGGCTCGTTCACTTGCTTAATGGCACTCTCTGTACCTCAGATTTTGTAAATTAATTATTCATGACTTATACAAGGCTTTACAGTGAGACGTGGCTGCATTCTAGATATAAAAGCAACCCGCCTCCATTTTTTAATCAGTCTTTGTTATGAATGGTGGATGCTTGAAGCTGAAGCAAAAATCATCATCAGCTATATTTATTGGCTAAAATGTTGCTGTATCCAAGCTTAAGAAATATCAAACACATCTGCCAGTGGCTAGAATGGTAAGAAATGAGAAATCTTACCAGTGCAAAAGACATCATGTTTACCACAAGTTTAAAACAAAGACGCAGCAGCCATGAAAGGATTCCATCCAGGACATGGTTATTCCTTTAGATGATCTTTAAATGAATGCTGTGTTTCTGGGGAGGGTAAAAGACAAAATGGAAGGCTTGCGGTGTGGATGCTTTTCTTCCCCTGCACTTCAATTTGTTACCTCTTTTATTCGATAGCAGCATTATAAATCTTACTCATTTCATTCCAGGTAGAGGGAGACAACATCATAGGACCTGTGCATCTGGACTCCTCATTTTCAGTAAATAAATGGTCAAATAGACAGGAATCTTCTCAAGCTTCAGGACTGGGGGAATATTTTAATGCATGTTCCAATCTGACAAGTGTGAGCGAGAGCTCAGATGATTCTTCCGACTGCTCAGCAGCCTGTGACTAGGGTGGGGCTGGGAGAAGATGATCTGGCGTGCTGCCATCTTTATTCATACTGAGAACCACCATGTCACCCCATGAGTAGCCCAATGTGGGGGGCAGGGAGGGGGCAGAATACATAGTGTGAGGAAGGGAGATGCAATTGGGTCCTTTACATTTGGGAAATTAAAAGCATTCTAAGCTATTCATTACAGACTTACAAGCACTAGCTCACGAATGGGGACACCAAGGTGATTTCCCACAGCTATTTAAGTGTAGGAAGATAAAATTTCAGCTAACTTGTTAACTTGATTGCTGAGCACTAACTCTGGAGTCCCATTTCACCCCCGGATAGCTGGGGAATTATGAATTGCACTCACTCCCACTTCACCTGAGGGTGAAAAGGCGCAGCGCCTGTCCTATAGCGTTGGAACAGCTGTTTTGAGGTAATTTCAACGTATCTTATGCTTCGAACTCAACAAGTCAAACCCCCCATAAAACCAGACAGCAACCACATTAGTCTCTTTATTTCCTATCACAACTATTTATGTGACATATTATAAAAGCCGATTTGTTAACCTTACTTGGTACAGCCTTACTGGGCTTGTATTGGTTAAAGACTGGCTCTCTGTGAGCTGCGTGCCTAAAGGGACCATTGAATAAAAAAAAGTGTTTGAAATTTTTTTACAAATGATAGAAAAATCCCATTTTACAACCGGAAGGTTGCAGATTATTATCTGGGTCTGTTTTCACTTGATTTCTCACACGGCAGATTTACTTGGTTACAATGAAATATTGGGGTAAAATAGTTCTGGGGCAGGTATGTGTAAAGTGTTGATAGAGTTTACAAGTCACAGACTCATTTTCATACACACAGGGAATTTTACTATCTCTTGATGTTTCAGTGTTACATTTAACTATATTATAAATGTAGCCAAAGCCAAATTCCAACTCCTTCCATGAAGCAAAATATGAAGCAGAGAGCAATGTGAGTAGTGAACCCAACCGGATAAAATCAGAAACAACCCAAATTTCACACACAATTTGAATTAAAATAAACTTTTGTGGAGGTTAGAAAGTTCTTCATTCCCACTAGCCTGAGTATGTCCTGGTGTCAGACAGAACCAGAAGCTGAAATGCCGTGAGGACAACTGCTCTTGTGTTGTTTCTGAGATGACAGAACCCAGGAAGTGGTGGAAATCTAAAGGCAGGGCCTGTTCCCATGAGAGTTCTAGCCTAGTTTCAGCATGGGTATCTGTTTAGATAAGCTTTGGGTGAGCATCTGTATTTTGGTATGTGCCAATATGGATCTCTATGGATAGCTATTAGAGCAAAAGCTGGTAGCAACCTCTTACAGAACACTTTCCATTATAAAAGATTATTACAACCTTTATTTGAGAAGCTCTAAGCTTGGCCTTGGCAGGAAGTAATTTGGTTGTACAGTTGTCCAGTGGTATGCAACACAGCAGTAGCGTTCCTCTCAAGCTCTCTTCTTCATATCTCAGGATGTCTTGAACCTGTCTCTTGTAGTTACCTCCCTATATTAGTTCATTTGAGATCTAGGATCTGATTCTCCACTTCCTCACACCTTACGTTAGCATTTGGACCAGTGCCTAGTGAATGCAAAATGCTCGCATTCTGGACTGACACTCACTGTGCTGTTCTGGCAGCTTTTAAACCCATTGTGCACAGGTGTAAATGAGGACAAAGGTGCAAGACCAGCCCTTAGTTCTAAGTAGTTGCCTGGGGCTGTGAAGATGTGATTGTGAAGAGATCACAAGTCAGTGAGCTACTATTCACTCAAAAAGCTACAACCCAGTGAAATTACCTGGATAGTTTTGCAGATTTCAAACATCAAAGGCTTTTATACTCTTGTCTCTTCTATCTCTCTAGGTATTTATTTGGCCTCCCTCTCCAGAGGAGCTGAGCACCTCACAATCACTAATGGATTTTGCTGTGTTTGTTTTGTTTCTTGCACCCCAAAGAAGTTCTGCCCAGAGATTAAACTTCTCCTTTCTGGGAAGCTGTTTGATCAGTATAAAAACATTTTAAAACCTGCATTTTTATGAAGTTTGTATTAGTTGCAGAGTCTGAGAGATGGGCACTAAATAAAATATTGGTCAACAAAGGTATCTATTTTTAAAAAAACCAGGTTGACTCTGATTAAATGCAAATACTGAATTAAGCTTCCTTTCCTCCTGAATCCAAGGTATCCTTCCCCAAGGCAATACCTTCAGGACTGACCCCTCGTCTTCTCTCCATTGCAGCTTCCCTCCCATCCTATGTAACAACAAGACCTGACTAGGAAACAGAAGGGGAAAACTCACATTCTAGGGCAATAAACAAGCCTATGTGCTCGTATTCCCTATAAACACTATCTCAGCTAACCTCCCCAATGCTGTTCGTACACTGAGAGAGGGAAATAAACAGCCAGCCACAGAAACAGACTTTTGCCAACTGCAAAGAGATTAAATTGGCAGAAAAAGAAATTTTATTTTCCAGTTTCACAGCAGGTTTTACCAACAATGGAAACTATGAAAATGACTCACTCGGAAATGTCTACGCTTTGTTTCTGGAATGTGCCCATTGTCCATGGTACAAGCAGAGATGCCACATGGGGTCAGTGCTCTGGGCGTACGTTGCATCGGGAGCAGCGTCTTCCATCCAGTTTCCTCTCTGTTTGGAGAGGGGCGCTTTGCACAGAACCATAGTGTAGACAATGTATAAGCTGTTGAGAAAGGAGAAAATCACTTTGGGCTGAGAGCTTTGTCTGAACTTTGTCCTTTTCTCAAGCAAAGGAAAATATTATTTCACCCTTTAAAGAACCACACATAATAAGAGGCGAAATGTCAAGACCAATGTTGATATAAACCCCCAAGGAAAACAAACATCCATGTGGCTTCTCCAAAAGGTCTCACTCCTCACCCCTCTTCCCTAGTTTAAACAGATTTAGTAAGTGAGGAGGAATGGGAGGGAGGGGGGCTTCTCCAGGGGTCAATTCTAAAGGTCCCCTGTAAAGGCCCAGTCTGGTACATTGCCTTCAAGAGGATGCTCAGCACCTGGCGGGATTGATCCTTCTGGGATGGCGAAACCTCAGATTTTCACGATGAAAGCTCTGTGAATAAGACAAAGGCATCTTAGCCTCACACTGACAGGCCCCACACACATTTTCAGGCCCCTGTTTTCCAGTGTCATGTCATAGTGTATCCCTACGCCAGAGGGCTACAGAAAATGCCACGTACTGCTCAAGCAGATGATGCCACACTCGTCAGTACTTCAGAGAGGATTTCACTTGCCTGACCGCAGTAAAATGGCTTAAAATAGTACATCTGAGAACCATGTGGTCAGAAGAGCAAAAAGACACATTGAAAATGGAGATGTTACATTGTCTTCCGTAAAGTATTTGTTGGGTCTTTGGAAGAGTTGCATGGCGTATAGTCACACAAGTCTTGCTGACTTTGATCACTCCCCCATTGTCTTTCATATGAGACATACAGCTAAATCCTAGGCAACTCTGAAGAGATGGGGTGACGCATTTTTGTATAACAATATACCTGCATTAAGGGGCTGTATATACTATTTGCATGCCAACAAAAACAAGAAGCATATACCCGAGGTCCAGCTGGATCTGGAATAGTTAGCATGTGCCTGTGTCCATCGCCAAGAGGAGACGAGCCCACAACAGGTGCTCTCGGCACAGTACCTCCTTCCTCCCCCTTTGGGGCAGGGCTGGGGCTGTCAGCAGCACAGTCCAGTCTCTCCCTGGGGGTAAGAACAGCAGTTGTGCCTGACAATGCCTAGAACCCGGCCACTCCCCACCCGCGCACGTCCACACTGGGGACAGGCACAGTCGGCCAGACTGCCCCGTTATGTGTCTCGGCACTTCCTTATTTTCCTCTCCTCTTTCCCCCAGAGCTCTGCGCTCCTTGTGTTGGGGGACTGGGCTGGCTGTGCTTTGGACCACGGGTCAGACTGCAAAGTGTACGGTGGGCTTTACAAGACATGCATTTCTTTCTTGGTGGTGGAGCTGATCCGGGAGCACCCAGAGCTCTTTAGCAGGCAGCCCTGAAAAATAAAATCCCTGATTACTCTGCTTTGACTAGACAGCACAAATACAACAATTTCCACCAACAGGAACAATGATCACCACATTATGCAGCACAAAAGTACAAAAATGAATAATTAAAAAATACAAGCTGGCTCTGGGAGAGACCCTGTTATTATGTGCATCAGAAACAGAATAAATCACAAGTAATTCAGAAGCCACATTCCCAGGTTCACTCATAACCATCTTGGTATTCCGAGTCCCATTGGGAGCCATAAACGACACAGAGTCCACATTATAAAAATAAACATGAAGTTAAGTGGCAAGGATTCATTTACACCCAAAGGGGAAACACTTCACTGTTTACAGTATTGGTTTAATACAAACATAGCAAGTTTCACCTTCAAATACATCCCCAATTCTAGGGGAAGGGGATGCCTGTGGGAAGAGGGTGCTGGGTAACCCTATCTATTGTCAAAGCTGCAAGTCCCACCGAAGAGCATGTTGTCCTAGACAAGGTCCTGACCTGCTTGAGCTCTTGAAGAGCCACAGTCAAAGTAAAGGTAAAAGGCAAAAATGACAACGCCTGAAGCTGAAGTCCTTGCTCCATCTTAATTCAGTCCTTCCTCTTTCAGAACCAATGGGGCAGTCTCCCCAGTTCTCGAGATTTTATCACAAATCTCATGATACTTGGCATAAGTGGCTTGGCTTTACGAAAAGGCCTAGTTCCTGGAGGCAGGCGATGATGTGAGAATCTCAGCTTTCATTGCTTTAAGAAAGTAAGTTTCTAGCCCTGATGCTTTCAGAGAAAAGTGTGAACATGTGACACCCCAAAGGCTCAAAACGTAGAAGACAACTAAAAAGACCACAGATTTTATTGTTTAAAATCTCATGGTTTTTGGAGCCTATATTTAAGGGATTTGTCTGATTAAGGATTTCAGAATTTGGCCTCAAAGGATTGTACTGCCCAAGAGTGAATGGGCACGGACTTATATTTGACGTTCTCTTTTTCCCTTAGCAAAAATAAAACCAAAATGTCTCAAAGAAGCCCAGATCAACAGTCAAAGTGATTATCCCATAAGAGATATTATTAGATATTGCTAGTCAAAATGCAAAATGATTAACAGTGTGATTCATTTGGGGCAGGGAAGGGTGAATAGACCTTGGTTGCAAAATTGGATTCTTAGTAAAATGCAGGGCAGGCTCAGGGGTGATTGGCTGGGAACAGCGTCCCAGCACTCATGAAACCAAAACCGAGTGCAGCAGTTTACTCACCCTGAGACAGAGCCAACATGTCTTTCTCCAACCAAACACCCACTGACTTCAATCTCTTCAACTCAATGGGAGTTTTGCCTGAATGAAGGCTACAAGATTCATCCCCTGTACATGCTCTCTAGTATCCCTGTCTAAATCAAAATCTTAACTGCATCTTTATTCTGATTGCAGGCTCCGTTTCAGTTAGTTCTCTAAAGAAATGTTATTTGGTGGTGTCATGGGAGGATATTGCAGTGGCTCCAAAATACTTTTCACCAATAAGAAACGAGCATTTCACTGAAGCATGCTACCCTGTAATTCAGTTTGTTCTCAGGAAGCAAAAACTCCATGGGGGAACATGCCCAGGCAATGGTATGTTCCTTGGTATCAAAATTGTTTTAACCTCTGGAAAACGAGGGTTAAAATTAAAATCACTGGAACACATGGCACTTCCTGCATCTCTAGCATGAATCTTTAATTATGTATAATCACAGTGCAATCTGTTGTAATATCAATAGATGGAGCTAGGTGAGAAAGGCAAGGTGTGGAGGGAATTGTTTTTCCCATGATGCAGATTTAACTCTTGATTTGACCTGATTAAGGACAGATCCCCGATTTAGCTCCTGAGGCTTTGAAAATAACAGAAGGAAATAGTGATATGCAGCCCTGCTGGAATTGGACCCAGTGGGAAAACAATGACAGTTAATCTCATGGAAAAGTCAAGAGTTGGAGCCAGTTCAGACTTCTGAGCAAACTAGGAGCAGAGGGATTGGGCGCCGGGGAGGGGAGGTATGTCGAGCAGACAGCAACAGGGAAAGAAGGCCTCAACACTGAACCTTCAGCTCCCTCCCCCGGACCCCAGGATAATTCCTGGAGGGACATGATTTTGTCCTTGGCAGCACAATCAGGATGTGCCCTTTGATAGGACAGCCTCGTATAATGCATCAGGGACTGGTGATATTGGTGCTATCACTCATGATCAAAATGCATCACTGGTAATAATGCCATTTAAGCTCTATGGCTTTAATTTGCAAACTTTGCTAAGTATCTATCCATGCCCTACAAACTGAGAATGATGGGCACTAAAGCAGCAATGATAACAAATAATTAATTGATATTTACTATAGTGGCTATTATTTATTTGTTGAGAAATGACAGTGTGCTCAGCACCGAACAAAACACGTTTTCTGTCCCAAAGACCCTACAATCTTGGGACCTTATCCTGAAAATACTGGCTCTGCTCACATGGGTAAGGTTGTTCACATGCATACACATTTGCAGGATTGTACACGTATACAATTTCTGTGCATAGCATTTAACAGGGATATATATATATATATATGTGTGTGTGTGTGTTTATGCCATATTGTGTGATGTCTAGTAACTTGATTAGCCAGGTGTCTGTAATATAATTACACAGTAACTGCGATGGCTCTTATGCTATTATTTATTATTTATATTAAAGTAATGCCTAGGAGCTCTAGTTGTGGACCAGGGCCCCAGTGCGCTAGGCGCTGTACAAACACAGAACCAAAATACAGCCTAGAACCAAAGAGCTTACAGTCTAAGTACATGGGTTTACCCTTTTTTGCTATTTCTCTCTGTTTCAGTACATAGCCCAGTTTAGTAGGGTTATGGAGGGGAAACAAATATACTTGACAGCAAAACCAGGGAAAAAGAAAAGGAGGACTTGTGGCACCTTAGAGACAAACAAATTTATTTGAGCATAAGCATTCGTGAGCTACAGCTCACTTCACCGGATGCATTCAGAATCTCTTACTGAAATCTCTATGCATATACGAGAAAATAACCTCACATGATCCCAAGCGTCTTCCTCTGTGTGTTTGGTTTGGGGCTGTGACACACATGAAACACGTCAGTGTCACTCCCCTGGCGCTTGGGATTTTGAGAGCAAAACTGTGGACCTTGGGAGTTCTGCCACCCAAGTTCCACACAAGCCACTTACGCCATTGGGGTACCAGCAAGGGTTCAAAGCAATTATGAAAGAAATCCAAATGCTCCAACTTCATGCCTCCTCTAATTAAATAAAGTATTAAAACAGAAATCAGGGGTCATATTCTTCAATCAGTTACACACATAAAAGGCTTTCAAGGCTGTGTGGAGAACAGAATTTGACTCGTTACGTGTTTCCCATTCTTTGCAGATTAATTGAAATGGGGTGGCAGCATAGATTGCTTCGCAGCAGAATAACTGAGCAAATGCAGCTCATTGTTTTGGTTTCACTCCAGTCTTGTCAGTTTCCTCTCTGCTGGAAGTAAGAGTTCTTTATTGGGACTAATGTTGTGATGCAAAAAGATTAAGAAATATCTGGTCACATACATATGCAAAAATCTGGGATGTATTTCAGTTCTCTAAAAATATCCATAGGGCAAATAAGGAAGAGACAGAGAGCTTCCAGTTTTCAAAAAACAAACAAACAAAACCCACTTTTTCACAATCTATAACCACAAACCAGTTATGCCTTCAACCCTAAAATGTAGCATTCAATAAAAACTCCTGGCAAACAAAATAGTAGTTTACAGTTGTAGTTATCTAAATGTTCTATACTTAACATTTTAAATACTAAATTCTCATAAACACTGTTGTGAGGTTGATTTGATTCCAACTCTATTGTTGTTATTATTACTCAAAATAAATTTGATTTTTAAATTTATTCCCTTTGTTATTTGGTTGTTTAATTTAATTTTGATTTGTTTTAAAAGATAAACATAAAAGGCACATTCATTCTATACAGCAGGCTTTGGCCAAAACAAATGCACATCAAATACGTTATTTAAACAAAAACTCATAAAGTTTTAACAAGACACCAAATAATTACAGGATAGGGCTAAAGTCCAACTCTGTCTGGAGTCCAAAGGTTTGACGTAGATTTAAGATCGAGATCAAATAGAATGTGCATTGGCATCATAATATCACCAAGTCCCCGACCCTCAGTGATGCACTCACTTTCCCAAGGCCAATCCATTTTAATGCACTTGTAGATTTATACCCAAATCACATCAAATGCTCTGCCATCGACTATTCTAAAGGTTCTAATACAGGTTTTATGATCAAAATTTGGTCTCTTTGTTCTTCCAACATACATTTTAACACAGGGGCAAAGTAACTAAATGAATTAAGATGCATTTTTAAACATAAGCATAGCTTTCTGTCAAATATAGAAGAAATTTTCTCTCTCGTTATTTGTAAATGGATTCTACCCCTTTAATTAAATCTGCCCAAAGGTTATGGCAAGCAGTTTAGATCCCAGATTTGATCTGTCTGTAAAGAGCTCTAATCTGAGCCCGAATGGTGTCTGGATTTCAGCCATCTATCTGTGTCTTCATCATTTAAGACCCATTTCCCATTGGCTAGGTGGTCTTGGCGTCCAGCAGTGAAGCTTCTGATATCACACATTTTCTCGTCTCTACCAACCAGATGTGCTGCTTTTCTCTGATGATAACTTTAGTCCTACAGGCTGTTTAGCAACATTCAAGAGTGCCAATGCAGATGGAGGATTAGCAGACTAAGAAACAGGGACCCCGTCTTGGAACTCAGAGCCTCTGTGGCCCTGGATGAGTGGATGAGTATAACCATTGGATCAAGTTATACCTTCCTCTGCTAGACTGAATGGCCCATTATTAAATATTTGTTCCCCATATAGACACTTATAGCCTGTAATCAAGTCACCCCTTCACCTTCTCTTTGTTAAGATAAATAGATTGTACTCTTTGAGTCTACAAGACATGTTTTCTAATTCTTTAAT